CGCCCTCATCAGCGCGGTCTTCCAGCGGCTTGACCTCGACAGAGACGAGCTGCTGAGCCCGCATGAGATGCGCCGCTTCGCGGAGCTGACTGGCTTCGGGGGCGGCGAGGACGAGTGGAACAAAGCCTTCAAGACCTTGATGTCCGAGAACGGCGTTGCTGAGGAGTCGCAGCGATCTCTCTCTCTCTCTCTCTCTCTCTCTCTCTCTCTCTCTCTCTCTCCCTCATATATGTGTATATATATATGTATATTTGTATGTATATATATATATATATGTATATCGGAGGGGTCTCCAAGAGGGTTCAGAAAGGGGCCCAAGACCCCCCCAGAGGCTCCCAAGCTGGCCCAAGAGGTGCCCAAAGCGCCCCATGCTGTCTGGAAGGTGGCTGAAGAGCGCACTGAGATGGCTTCTGGACGGGCCACGAGCGCTCGAAGACAGCCCAAGACTGCTCCTAGACGGCCACAAAGGTACTCAAGACGGTCCAAGAGGCCGCCGAGAAGGCCCTCCAAGGGTAAAAATCAAGCATTTCCAATGGAGAGATACCGCGGCCTGATCCAATGGGCCTCACGAACGAAATGCCATACGCCGGAGCGCGTGGACAATACCAACCAAGGCTCACCGCTTTGCGGGGGCGGCTGCACGTCGGCTGTCTCTGAATTCACACCGTGCGCTGCTGGAGGACGAGGGGGGAGAAGGGGGAGGGGGAGGAGGAGGGAGACGAAGGGGGGAGAAGGGGGAGGAGGAGAAGGGGGAGAAGGAGGAGGGGGAGGGGGAGGGGGAGAAGGGGGAGGGGGAGGAGGAGGGGGAGGAGAAGGGAGGAGGAGGAGGGAGACACGCAACACCAATCACGAGTCTGCGCCGAGCTGCTGGCTCACATACACCCTGCATTGTTGCCTCGTCCACTGGGCCCGAAGGGCAGAACATCGGCTCTCCCCATGGGAACGCCCTCTCATCGAGCCTCGTGCTCGTCCATGGGGGGAACCCAGACCCCCGACGCCATGAACTTTTCATGGCGCGACCCCCGGAGGTCCAGACCCATTCCCCGGGACCGGTTTTTCATCCCGAGTCGTTTTTTGACGCTCCCGAGGCCCGGTGAGGGCCCCCAGAGGCCAAAAATAGCGAAAAACCTCCCGTCGTGATTTTTTCATGACTCGAGCAGGTCTGGGAAGGGACGGCCGCCGGCATCTCCGGCGCCCCGGAGGCGGGCGTGACAGGCCCCCGACTCCGGATCCGCCCTACTTTGGGGAAATTCGTAAGTAGGGCTTGGAATTTCCGCCTTATTTTTCAAGCCCCGCTGATGCCAATTTCCGCCCTACTTTTCTGTTGCTGTTTCTGTGGATTTCTGCCCTATTTTATGTTGGGTGCAGCAATTTCCGCCCTACTTTTTCGGTAGGTGGATTTCTGACGCAATTTTAAGTTGGAAAAAAAGCCAAAGTAGGGCGGATCCGGAGTCAGGGGCAGCTCCGAGGGCCTGCGCGCCGATCCGGGAGAGGCCTCGGCGAAGTCACCAGAGAGGCCTGGCGGGCGCTCGCGCTCGCCTGACGGCGCCCGCCCGCACGGAGGCGAGGCCTCGGGAGGCCCCTCGATCGCGGCGACCCTCCTCCAGACTGGAGGAGGAGGAGGAGGAGGAGGGAGGAGGAGGAGGAGGAGGAGGAGGAGGAGGAGAGGAGGAGGAGGAGGAGGAGGAGGAGGAGACGGAGAGCCCTCGTGCTCCTCGAGGAGGGGTCCGTCTCGATCGGTCTCCTGCCCACGGCACCCTTGGCCGGCCCGCGGGCGGGCCTTGGCACGCTCCGCGGTCCCCGGGCACTCGACGAGGAAGGAGCCGAAACCCGGGGGCCGGGACCAGGGACCCGCCCGGCAGGGAGTCCCCCGGCACGGAGATAGGGGGCCAGATGCGAACCCTGCCCCTACCCCCCACGATTTCTGAGGGGGTGCGTGGGGTTCACTCCGCTCGGGAGCTCCCGAGTTCAGTGAACCCCACCCTCCCCCTCAGAAATCGTGGGGGGTAGGGGCAGGGCTCGCATCTGGCCCCCTAGCCCGGGGGCCGGGACCAGGGACCCGCCCGGAAGGGAGTCCCCCGGCACGGAGGGCAGTCGCGCATCCTCGGAGGGTCTCAGATCCGCGGGGGCCGTCGTCGCTCCCGGGCCCAACCGCCGGGCGGAGGCCTCCTCGCGAGGGTCGGCCGTCTGGTCTCGGGAGCGTCGTGGGCTTCTGGAGGCGGGGGGCCCTCTGCTCTGCACGAACGAAATGAACACGGAAGGAATGGGCACGATGCCCAACAGCAGTTCCTGTCCACTCTGAACAGGGCTCGCTGTCCGCGCCGCCGCGGCCTGTGTCCATTCGAGACAGGGGGCCGCCTGCCCAACAGCGGCCGCTGTTGGTTTGGGACAGCATTTGTTGTTGGGCATTGTGCCCATTTTTTCCGTACCCATTTCGGGCGCCCAAAGTTTGCGTGGCGAGCGGATCTCCTCGCGCAGCCTGTCGAAGGCAGGGCTCTCTAAGAGTTCGGCCCCCAGGGACTCAGCTCGAGTCGCTATCCCCACTTATTCGGCGCTGCATCTGAGGGGCTTCGCCCTCGTGGCGACCCACGCGCTCCCGCCGGCCTTGGTTCCCCCGGGCCCCGCCGACCGGTACAGCACGACCCTGGGGCCCGTCCAGGGATCCTGCTGCACCGGATGCGATCGATTCGAGGCCGTTCTCGGCGCCCGAGAACGTAAATAGGGGGCCACATGCGAGCCCTGCCCCTACCCCCCACGATTTCTGAGGGGAGGGTGGGGTTCACTTCGCTCGGGAGCGAGGTGAACCCCGCCCTCCCCCTCAGAAATCGTGGGGGGTAGGGGCAGGGTTCGCATGTGGCCCCCTAGTAAACCCAATCCCCCGGTCGGAACTCCCGCTGCTGGTGAGGTCGCGCCCGCGCGGCCTCGGCAATGCGGGATCGGGCGTCTAAATTGGCCAGGGCGCGACGAGCCTCTTTGCGGATCCTGTGCTGGCGGACAAATTCGCCGGCAGCCGATTCCAAGTCAACGGCGCGCGCCGAGACGTCTTCAGTTCCAGTCCAGTCGATCGGATCGTGCGAAAGCAGACTGCGTGGCATTCTAGGGTTCTGGCCGAAAACTAGCTGCGAGGGACTGAAAACTCCACGATGGAAACCACGATTCTTGGCCGCCACAACCTCACACAGAAGAAGGTCGGTTTCGTCCCCGGACGTGGGGTTGATGGCCTGAGCGGCCTTGGACAACGCGTCTTTCACCAAACCCCTGTGCCTCTCCTTGGCATCGCTCGGACGTGTGCATTTTTCCTTCGGCGAGGACCATCGAGGAGCATCCTTGAGCATTTGGCGAAAAAACCACGCACGAAACCGAAACAAACACAGGAAATGGACGTCCGAGCGATGGCCAGTCTCGCATTTTCCCTTCTGGTGGGGGGAATTGGCGGGTACCACCGGTGTTGCATGACCCCCAGGTGCTCGCACCCTCGAGCAAAGATCGCCTTCGAACTCCCCCCCCCCTCCGGCTCTGCTGAGAGCTTCTGGGGCAGGGCCGAACCCGCCAACGCAGAAACGCCCCCCCTCCCAGACTGAACGGGCGGCGTCGTCGGGGAGAGGGGCACACTGCTGGAAGGGCGCTCCGTGGTCGGTCGGGTCCATCACTGGGCGCGCTCTTGCCTTGGATATCGACGGCAGAGTAGATCCACAGCAGCGACTCTGTGAAAAGCGTAGGCTTGCGGGAGATGGGCCTTACGCCTCCACCCCGCTCTCGAGTGCGGCGCACAGAGGTCACTGCGAAATTCCTCGCGAACCCTTCTTCTTCCACAAGACCTCGGCTCGGGCTCCCGCGACCCCCAGAGCGCCCTGTGGAAGCCTTCGTTGGAGGGGTGGCCGAGGTTCACATGTGACCTGGCGACCTCCTTCTGGAGCCCTGGGTCCAGGGTCCCGGTTCTATTACCAGCCTGGAACATATCCCTGTCCCTATGCTGGGCACCTCCTCACCACGATGCCAATCTTGGGGACTCCCTCACTTTTTGAGGGCGAGCCCCTAAGATTGTCATCGCCCTTTGGCGTGCCAATCTTGGGGATGGGGATACGTCCGAGGCTGGTAGGTTCCACCCTCCGTCGAAGAGCCGTCCACCGGCGCCGACGGCCGAGGCCCGTCGGGGGGCCTTCGGCCTCGGAGCCGCGAGCGGACGGCCCGGGATCCCTCTGTCTTCGGCAGGAGAACTCCGGCCCTCCTCCTCCTCCTCCTCCTCCTCCTCCTCCTCCTCCTCCTCCTCCTCCTCCTCCTCCTCTCTCCTCTCTCCTCTCTCCTCGTCCTCCTCGTCCTCCTCCTCCTCCTCCTCCTCCTCCTCCTCCTCCTCCTCCCCTGAAGACTCTTCTCGGGCCGGACGAAAGGGGGGGCCTGTCGAAGGCCTAGAGGTTGACACCAGCACCAAGATCGGCGGTGCGCCTCCACCGAGGAAGGAAGATCCCGACTTCGGTGATGGCGGTAGGATTCTGGCTTCCAAGGTGGCCGACATATTATCACCAACACCGAAATCTAGGATCGTCTTCCCCCGGTGGAGGGTGTTGGTGTCAATTTCCAAGCCTCCAAGATTGGGAAAGGGGAGGGTACCCAATTTGCTGCATGCAGAGCTGGTTTCGGCCTCGCCGAGGGGCCCATTCCTCGATGCGTAGCCGCCTCCGGTGCCGGGCGGCGCCGGGAAAATCAGCTACGTGAGCTGATTCTCATCCACCCCCCTTTGGTATCCCCCCCTTTCGCCCGACCCGATCTTCGCGCGAAAAGAAGTTTTGGCCGTCGCCACTGCGGCCCTGTTGGGCCCGGTGGAAGGCCCACGCTCCGTCCTCCATTCCGGAGGCCAAGCTGCTGATCAGGTCGTCTGGGAACTCCTCCGCGGCGGCAGTCCTGGCACCGCCGAGGAGGGGAATGTTGAGGTGGTCTTGGGGACACCTACGCTGGCAGTGAGCCAACATTCAGGAGGGGAAAAAACACACACACAGGCACACTTAATCGTCTATCCCCCAGAAAATATGGGAAAATATGGGAAGTGGGGGGGAAGACAAAAACCAAGAAAATATTGGGAAAATATGGGGAATCTTTTTATTTGTGTGTATTTATTCCCCACATGTTTCGTGGGGTTCTGGTTTTCTTCCCTGCCGCGGCGCACCC